GCAAAGGCACACTTTTTTCATGAAAAAAATCACGAGGCACACCACCATTAGAAAATGTTAAAAAAATTTAACTCTGTGCCTATATTGACTATATACCACGGCACACCTTACACTATGTCACGGCACACTAGTGTGCCGCGGCACAGTGGTTGAAAAACACTGATGTAGAGGGACCAGGATGTGGACAGACTTCAAAATCAAAGCAAAAGATCTAAACCAGAGTTTCTCAACCTTGGGCCACTTTAAGATGGGTGGACTTCAACTCCCACAATTCCCCAGCCAGCAGTTTGTTTCTTCTGTCCTGTCCTGTCCTATTCTCTCCTCTTCTCCTCTCCTTTTCCTCTCCCCTCTACATTTTCTTTTTCTCTCCTTCTCCTCTTCTTCTCCTTCTCTTTTCCTCTCCTCCCCAGATTTTCCTTTTCCTCTCCTCTCCTTCTCCTCTCCTCTTCCTCTCCTCTCATCCCCTCCCTACATTTTCCTCTCCTCTCCTCCTCCTTCTCCCTTTCCTCTTCCTCTCCTCCTCCCCCTCTCCACTCCCATTCCATAGGAGAATGAAGCCAAGGGTTTGTTCTGGTCGATCCTATGTGGAAGCTGTCTCTTGAAGCATCCACAATCTTCTTCCTTCACAGTGGACACAGAATGAAGGAAGCTAAGAGAAGCAGTTGGTTTTTTTTTTTTTACAAGGAACTCATGTAGCAGCTTCACACGTGACTTTCCGTGGACGAATAGTATATTTCTTGAAAGATGGAGAACAGGGAGAACTCTGGTTCTCAGCTGAGGCAGCTGAGATTAACGAAGGCCTTCCTTCCGCTTAGAAAATCAAGGAGATCACCTACATGCACTCGGAGGGCATCTTGGCCGGTGAGCTGAAGCACGGGCCCCTCGCCCTGGTGGACAAGCTGATGCCCGTCATTATGATCATCATGAGGGACAACACCTATGCCAAGTGCCAGAATGCTCTGCAGCAGGTCATGGCACGCCAGGTGAGCAGAGGGGCCCAGGGGACTCTTGGGTGTTTCCCCCCTCCCCCAGGAATATTGAACAGGGTGATGAGTCCTGCTGACTTTATTTTAGTCTGCTCCAGCTGGGAAGTGACCTCCTTTCTAACGGAAAAAAATAGCAAGACTATTAACAAAACAAAGCAGTTACTCATAAAGATGAAGGGCCTCGTATAAGCCGGAGAAGACCCACATGGGAGCTTCTTGGTGGATGTCCATGGAGATTCTCAGCCCTCCTGGTTGTCCCAAAGATGCTTTTTTCAAGACTTCCTTGTTTTTCTTTGAAGATGTTTTGCTTCTCATCCAAGAAGCTTCTTCAGCTCTGTCTCCAGTTCCTTCCATTCCCCACAATCCAGTCAGAGCTGAAGAAGCTTCATGGATGAGAAGCCAAACGTCTTCAATGAAAAACATGAACGTCTAGTTGCTTTTGGAAAAAGGGATCTTTGGGACTTCTTGGTGGATGTCGGAACTGCCATCTTATGCCTGAATTTCACATCTGTTAGCCGTCAGCCTGCCATGAACTATTGGGGGAGGGGGGAGCTGGATGGGAAGAGGGAGGCGGACTGCTCATTGTACCTTCCAGAGTCAAGGTGAAGACACTGGGAATGGAATGGCTAACAGCTTACCAACCAGCCTGCCGTTGGAGACACTCCCCCAAACCATTCAAATTTAATTGGACAATAAGGAACCAGTAAAGAGGAGGAACTGGACAGGGAAAGTTAACCGGAGAAATTTGGCGTGCACACTTCAGTTTTGGCTTTGCTATTCTGTAAACCACTTGGCCTTTTAGTAAAGTATACCTTTCGCTACAAGTGGAGTTGAGGGTGTTTCTTGCTTAAGGGACCAAGTTGGGGCAGAACTGACACTAACTTTGGATTTGTCTGTAATAATTTCCCCACATTTCCAAATGTGTTCTTCTGGGAGGATAAAGTTTGGGGAGGAAATGTAATAGGAGGTGGTCCTTGTTTAATGACCACTCGTTCATTGACTGCTCTTTGGTGACTGAACTTACAGTGGCATTGAACAAGTGGTAGTTATGAACGGACCTTGTACTGGCATTGGTTGTGGGGTCCCTGCAGTCACATGATTATGACCTTTCCTGCCGGCTTCCCACAAGCAAAGTCAATGGGGAAGGCGACGGGAAATCGGAAGTTGCAGTCGGTGAGGTCGGATGGCAACCAAGATTGTTGGAACTGCCATTGCTAAGTGGCACAGTCATGTAGTTTTTCAGCTTAACAACAGTGTCACTTTATCATGGAATTTCTGTTCTCTGTTAGCATAATTAAACAAGCCATGGTCTTAAACCCTTGAGAAAAATGGAAATACATCCCAAGTAAAGAATGGTTGAAGAAGCGTTTTCTCCTACCACAATCTAATTTTGTTCTTCTAAGCAAAATGTGTGTGTGTGTGTGTGTCTTTAAGAGGGGTGTGTACCAAAAAAAGGCAAGATGGAAGGCACATTTATATACCATATTTCCCCGAAAATACGACAGGGTCTTATATTTTTTTAACCCATGAAATATGGCCTTGGGCTTATTAAAGGGGAGGGCTTATTGTTTTTGGGTTGCCGGGCGGCTGCTCCCTTGCGACTGGGCTCCCAAAGAGCCAGGCACAGCCTCAGGGTTGAATGGCTGTGTTGCGCTGTCGCGGCAGCAACACAGCAGCCATGAGGTGAGCACACTCGCGAGCAGCCACCCGGCAACCCCCCCTTTGCAGCCGGGCGCAGCGTCACTGACCGAGCTAACGGTACCCAGAGGCACCAAGCAACATGAGCGCCTGTTCGGCGCCCTCCGCCTCCCACGGCTCGGTGCTTTCGGAATGCCCCTAGATGAGTGAATGCGGCTCTGCATAGCTGGAGAGGGGGGTTGCGTGAGCGTCTTTTCTGCTCCCCGCTCCCGCGACTTGCAGGCTCACAATGCCCTTGGCTAACTCTACAGTACCTGCAGAGGCAGGGCATCTCTGCTGNGGGGCAATATGCTGACTCTGTAAACCACTTAGAGAGGGCTGAAAGCCCTATGAAGCGGTATATAAGTCTAACTGCTATTGCTATTGCTATTTTTTTTTTTAAAAAACTGACTTTCACATCTCACTTTGCAGAGTTTGGGGTGTGCTTTGCACACAACGCAACCTTCTGCATTTCTGCATTTGCAAGTTATTTTCTACTTTTCTTCTATCCATCACAATCCAAAGAGTCCTAAGGCATCCAGGGGTTTTAGAGGACAGAACTGGAGGGGACCATGAGATGCTGGCTGAACCTCCCCTTAAACCTGGAATAACACAAGCAAGCCACTCTGCCCCAAATGTCTCAACCGACATTTGGTTGGATGGGATGCCTGAATTACAAGACACAGGTAGTCCTCGACTTACAACAGTTCATTTAGTGACCATTGGAAGTTCCAATGGTGCTGGGAAAAGTGACTTACAACTGTTTCCCACACATATGGCCGTTACAACATCTTCATGGTCACATGAATCAAAATTAAAATGCTTGGCAACTGACTCATCTGTAACAGTGTCTCCTTTTGTGACCTGACAAGCAACATCAATGGGGGGAGCTCCATCCACTTAACAACTGTGACAAGAAAGGTTGGAAAGGGGGGCAAAATTCATTGAACAATGGTCTTGCTTAGCGAAATAAATTTTGGGCCCAATTGTGGTCGTCGTAAGTCGGAGACTACCTGTACCCATCCCATTTGAACCCAGGCTAATCGGATGAGTGAATCCAGCCAGGGAGACATCATCAGACCTCCTCCTGCCAGCCTCTTTCTATTTCCCAGAAAATCTAAAGACAGATCTAGAACACCTCTAAAAAATTCTCTCTGCTCCGCTCGCTTTCTAGACATCCATCACACAATCCACAAAACCAAGCCGACATATATGAACCCGCTGGAGAGAAAAAAAAATCTTGGTTATCATCTCCAAACAAGGCCATCGTTTCTCAGCTCTATCCAAATTCTCTTCGTTCTTTCATTTTCCCTTTTTGATTGCTACTTTTATGGCAACAGAAAACCAGCAAAAAGGAAAAGGAAAAGGAAAACAGTGGAAGACATAGAAATGTAAATAGAGCTGTCTTGTTTCCCCCCCCCCCCCTGCATAGGAATCTCTTTTGGAGGCGAGTGATTTCATAATATAAACCAGAGGTCCCCAAACTTGGCAACTCTGTGGGCTGGAGAATTCTGGGAGTTGAAGTCCACAAGTCTTCCAGTGGCCAAGTTTGAAGACCTCTGATATAAACTCTACCTGGGAGCCTCCGACAATCCACATTCTAACCATAGTTATTCAGAATAAAAGTGGGGGGGAACACTTGGCGTATATAATTGTCATGTTAATCCAGTTCTCTCTGCATCTCACCCTGGTTGATTCTGGTGTCCTGCTGTCAAATTGGGTTGGTTATTTTTCTAAGCTGGCCAGCAGGAAACTTCACCCAGAATTTGACCCATTTGGTCACCTATATTAAGAAGAATCTGAGGAGGAGGAGAACGTTTTTGCCGTTATTTCCAGCGGCTTTGTGGTTTTTCCTATAAAATCAACTCCTTGATGCTTTCAGGTGTTGAGAAAATTGGCCCAGGATGATTGGACTTCTTCCCATCCTAGTCTGGCTCTCCAACTTCTTCGATTGCCTGTCCTTAGCTGAAGAGCTACATGGTTTTGTTTTCGATTTTGCAAAGTTGGAAGGCCCCGCTGTCCTTCTGCTCTCCATCCGTAGCTGTATCCTGTATTTCTTGCAGCAACACAACACAAGTTCAGGCCCATGAAAGATATCATCCCCCTGGTAGGAGATTCCAGCAGCATCGGCCCAGTTGGTAGGAATCGCCTTTTGTTGTGCTGAGGTGGATTCTGTGACCCCAAGAAGAATCCCACCAGTAATTTATGGGGAAATCCATTTTCCAGGGACTACTGGCTTTGCCCAGAGATGCCATTCTTTCCCATCTTTATCACGCAGCCTTCCTTCCTTCCTTCCTTCCTTCCTTCCTTCCTTCCTTCCTTCCTTCCTTCCTTCCTTCCTTCCT